TATATATATATATATATATATATACACCATTTTGGTTTTACCTGGTGTTTCATACCATTCATACCCCTTTAAATGTTATTTCCTTTTCTTTCTGACATTACAAACATATTGGGTTTATTCACTGGACAAACAAAGTACCTTTTAGCAACCAAAGGGTAAATGGTATTCATTTCAGAATCTGTTTTTTGGGTAAGCATTAATTCTTCTGTTCAAAAGTCTGCCTGTTAGAGAAAATAATCCTAATAACAAAAAAAAAATACTGTTGAAAGAAAGTCCCATGAAGTCTAGTTTTATTATTTGATGCTGACTTTGTAGTGGAAAACATGGTTTTAGATATATGATTATAATTGTCCAAATAGAAAATGCTGTATGCACCTTTCCTTAATGTGTAAGTGACCCATGGTTGGGAAAAACATGGTTTTGGGAATATTCCTTTTAAAACAGGACATTCACAATAATACAATGCTTGATGTTGGTCTGTTTCATTAAAATGTAGTAATTATATAGATGATTTTGGTTGTGATGTGAAAAAATATATTATTACAACTTCTAAGACATTTAACTAATGGGAAATTTTTTTTTGTATGTTTTTAGCTGTGAATGGCAAAAAACTCAGTCACAACATTAAGATTTTTTTAATGTTGTGTAAGTATTTATAGTTTTTGGACCATTTATAAATGTGTCTGTAAATAAAAAAATAAAGCTTGTAAGTGAGCTATACACAAATGAAAGTAAGTGACTGAAGTATTGCTCAAATTCAGCTCAACTAGTTTTCAAGGTCACATTCCACAAATAGAGAATGCTTTGTTGTCTTAATGTTGATTTAAATTCTACCATTTCTGGGTTGGCAAAAAAAAAAGAAGCGTTACAGAAATCGAAAAGATGTTTGTCAAAGCGTCTCGTCGCTCCCAGTCTTCCCTGGAACAGTTGCATCTGCATGTGGAGCTGCTGAGGAACTGAGCAGCTCTCTTGGCCTGGAGACTGTGGGACTTCTCATTGTGTTGTTTCCACTCTGCCTATTTATGGTGCATTCTTAATTTTTGTTTAACACACACATGCACCCCCACACACACACATCTTCTCCTCCCCACTCTCTTGGGCTATTTCACAGAGCGCCTCAGCTCTCCTTGATGAGGGGCAAAAACACGACTGCTATGAAAAGCCCCCGACTTCTTAGGGCTTTCTTTTCTAAACTGGCCTTTTCTTCTCCACCTGAAAGGTTCCTTAAGATTCCACTTTAAGGCATTGTGAATACTAATTTCTCCTATTAAAAAGCCCTCATATCCCTGCCTTGCTCTCATTTGAATGACGGACTCAGGGGAGATCTCTTAATTCCTTTATAGTGGGATTCAAGACCCTTCACTTCAAAAAGTATAAATCATACTCCCAAATGAATGAGGGAGAGAGAGGGTGGGGATTGACGAGAGAGGCTTCTGATGTGTTTCGTTGGACGGCACGAGCTGAATCCTTCTCCCCAAGCTGTTCAAATCCACTCTCCAGTGATATGGCTAGCTTGTGCTTACGACCTGACTGGGTCATTCAAGTTCATCCCAAACAATTACATGCAAACAGAAATGTCTGCTTGTGTCTGCAGTTCTGCCTGCCTAACAAATTTTAAGAGATCTGTTTTATTATAACACAATACCGTGCAAAACTAATGACACCTTTTGAAATTTTTCTCACCATACAACAACAAACATAACTGTATTATACTGTGATTGTATGCAGTGGCGGCTGGTGGAGTTTTCTCCAGGGTTTTTTTTATTCAAAATAGTGTTCTTTAAATCAGTCCTACCTGTCTTTATCCATGCTCGGTCAGATCCTGAAGTTTGAAAAAGCGGTAGGGAAAGCAGAAAAAAGTGTTAGCACCGCTACATGCAGTTAGCCAAGCTTTCTTGCTAAACCAGATCCCGGAAAGGGATGTTTCTTACGCCATTTCTTTCTCTCTCCAATGCATCTCCAAATCCCGTGACTCAACCTGTCAATCACGTGCAAAAAGTCTGCGCTATGGCGGGAGGTGGAGAGCAAATACACTGCCTGTCACCTCGGGGCGGAGCTCTCCTGCGCATGTACAACTTGTAACAAGAGTCTATGGCCAAATTATTTGCGCGCCAGGGCGGAAATACGTCACCAATCCTGGAGAAAAATGGAATGACGCTTTACTAGTCAATAAAGATTAAGTATTTATCTTGCACATATAAAATACATATATTTCTTAATTTTTTTAATTTAAATTTAAGAGTCAATTATAATTTTTTTTTCTATGTCTTAATCAGGGTCTTTGGGTGGGTGGGGCGGCACCATAGCACCCTCTATTGGCCGGCTGCCACTGGTCTATTTGTTCTGGTTAGGTGGAAGACAGCAACCACCATCACCCTAAACAGTTCCGCTTATATAAATCTTAAGATACATGGAAAATCCTCACATCCATCTTCGTCTGCTTATGGTTCAGGTTCGAGCAGTCTATGGGCGAAAGATGGGGTACACTCCAACAGTCAACAGTCTATTTCTATTTATGAACTGCTGGAGGAAGCCGCAGTACACGGAAAGAACCCATGCATGCATAGGGTGAACATGCCAACTCCATGAAGAAAGACCAAGAACTAAGAACCTTCTTGCTGTAAGGCAGCAGTGCTACAAACTGCATCACCATGCAACCCATATATTGAAAATCCTTTAAAAATACAGCTAAAATAACGTTGTCTGCTGGTTTAATTCTGTGAAGAGTAACAGCAATTAATAACTGTTGCGTCTGAGTTCGTCCAGTATAGAACACCAAAAAAACTGGCAGTATCTACCAGGGGGAACAGATTGCTGGACTGCATTGCCTTAAATGAGAACGCCGATTTTTTTACATTGGGCCCTTGATTTTACATTATTACATCATGTTCTACTCACCCATATAGCGGTGCGCCGGACTGGAGTTGTCAAAGGGCAGCCCGGGCCACAGACGGCTAAGCTCTACCCGTTATATTCATTCGGCTAGCTAATCTGAATCGTTCAATTCCATTTCGAGAGCGAGATCATCTGTGGTAGTAGCACTAGACATCTTCCAGGCATGTGAGTAAAACTAGCAGCAGTTCAGCGGACAGGATGAATGAATGGTAGCCGGCGCGAGGATGATGTCATACACACTCCGCTTTGTTTTAAAAAAAATATAAATATAAAAAATATAACCGCGGATGTCTGTGGGACAGTGATTTATGAATGCTGGCGTACCATAAATAATAAATTATGAACAGTTTAGTTTTTGCCTTCAAGTCATTGCCCATAGGAAGACGTTACTTGGATATAACCTAACCGAATATCTTAAAAACGGCTCCAAATGATACAAAACTCATATGGGTGAGCAGAAAATGATGTAATAACTTAAAATCAAGGGCCCAATGTAAAAAAAACAGTGTTCCCCTTTAATTATTACATAACACCAAAATAAATTACATTTTACTCAATTAACTTACCTGTCCAGTCGAAAGCCTGTAACCTCAGCGTCCGTCTTAAAATCTTGCTTCCTCATGATTTATCTCCACCAGGTAAAAGTTACGTTGATTCAGACTCTCTTTTCTTCAGGTAGTTACTTTCTTTTCTTTTCTCAGTTACTTTCTCTTCCCTCTGCCTTGGCAGTGAATATGGATGATCCTCCATTTCAACAGAAAATGACAAGTAGAATAATTTCAGGTCGCCTTTTCTTGTTTTATGTTCCTTCATTTATAACAAATGTTCATATGCATGTAAAGTGATTAAAGCCACTAAGTTTTGTCCCCTTTCAGCTGTTGTTATCAAAGATGGTGCTGCAACTTAGTATCTGTCATTGGAACGCTGGATACAAAATGTTTAATCTGTGATTTTATTAGGTTTTGGCAAAATATGCATTTATGAAAGTACTTGTTTTTTTGCTAATAAAAAGCCAAATTAGCTACACACTGTCCTTTTTACGACTAAAATCTAATAGCACTAACAGTTATTCTTAGATATTAAGCTTAGTGTGGCAGTTTCATGTTGTGGGAGTGTTTGCCAGCAGGTCTGCTGTATGGCACCAAATTCTGGGAAATTAAGGAGTAGTACTTTAAGCTGGCATATTCTGTTGTAGTATTGTTAAGTAATGCAAAGTTATTTTTGATTAAAAAAAGTACAACATTTCCCTCCTAATCATCATTAAATCTATTTATATACAGACAGAGCATTTTGTAGGATTTAACTACAATTTAGACGGTCACTTTAAAATGCATAACCACCTCCCACTGGAGCTTCTCTATTGATTATTTTATTCCTAAATGACACTTGTGCTGTGAGATAAATCATAGCATTACACTACTCCCTTCCCAGTTTTCATTTTAATTGTGAGATCACAGTGTCAGCAGTTAGTATATTGGTGTGAGTGGCCTATTGATTATTGATTTGGAGCAATTGATTATACTCCCTGGAGAGCCTAATCCTTTCTGATTCATTTGAATTCCTCTATTAATCTTAAGATCCTGCTCACACCTGAAGCAGCATGAACACTAATGAAAATAGATGGTCATTTTTCTAACTGTGGCTTCTCCCTCCTCTTTTGATTTATCATTTCTAATTGATGTATTTGCTTTTGTATGTGTGCTCCAAAATTACAGCTGACCCTGTGTCAATGCTGTTTTAACTCTGCACCCTGAGGGACTTCATTGCGTTTTAAAAGTGTCTTATATGACCTGAAAGAAATCTATCTTGGGCACAATTTGCTCGGTGTCCTTGTGCCTTTGATTGCGTTTAGCTGTTGTTGGTCCCCGTTTTTGGTCCATAGAGCCTCAAAGTCACTGTCTGCTTTCTCATCACAGTTTCAGTAAATTTAGGTGGAGACATCTGTTTAGTTTTAGAAAACTGATTAAGTAACAGATGTTAAATAATATTAATACCACACATTTTTTATTTTTCTACAACTACTGACACCTGTGTACTGCTGATAAAAAGTTGTGCGTTTTTACTGAACTAATCTGTATTATTTTCCTCAGCTTAATGATCCAATTTAAAGTATTCTCATGTTTGATTACGATATTTTTGAGCGCCTCAATTGGCTTCAGATGGCCACAAATGGCTTTGTCTCCCATCACTCTGGGGCAGGATAGGACCCTTTCCTCCCTTCAGGCTCCTGGCCTGCTGCATGTCTCTGCTTCAATGCAGTAGGGAAAGAGATAGAGGGATGGCTCTCCATACATTAAGGCCAAATGCATCACGGTATTACATTTAATGCCGCAGGCGTGCCTTGTGAAATAATGCAACGTTTAAATGTGGATCGATTTTGGAATTAAAAAGTTAGTTTGCAAAGATTTACTGTGAGGAGTTCAATGTCTGAGCTCTTTATCAGAGGCGCAAATGGCTGGTTATGTGCTGTCCGACAGAGGTACGATTGAGGGATCGATAGGCGCGTGATTTACTAACTGGAGTACAGGTAATCAATAAGTATAAAAGTAAATGAAATATGCATTACTGGGATTTTATTAGAGAAAGGTAGCAGGCAGAGAATAACGGTCAGGCCATTTATTTTTATATCTATTGATTATACAACATAGGGACTTCGCTCAAAGGATGCCCTGAACAGCTCTCAACACCCAGCGCCTGCACACCCGTCATGTGATTTATGGGAGTTGAGGTCACCGAACAGTCTGCCAGTTAAAAGGCTGGCCTTACAGGACCTCCCTGGTGCATGTGTCTGTAAGGGATGTGAAGCTTTACATAGCTTGTGTCTAAAGGGGAAGTCCTTGCTTAAGACAAGGTTTTCTCTTTGTGGTTCTCTGCTTTTTTAAGATGCTGTCTTAAAGATTTATTGAAATGTTCTGTTTGCAACATTTTCTTAATGTCTGACTTTTTTAATTTATGAAAAGCACTCAATATAGTGAGAAAAATAAGAAAGCAGAGTGAATGAAAAAGGTGAGAGCAAAGCATTTGGTAATGATCCAGATGAAGTGTGAGTTTAAGCTATAGGTGTGAGTCACAAAATGGGGCAAAATTTGTTGCTTGACGGAGGTCTGAGCTCTCTGAGTGCTCTTCTAGTTTGATTATGTATTTTGTAATGTTTTTTAAAAAGAACTGGGTTCTTAATTTTGATTTTGTTTAATGTTTTTTGTTAATCCACACACTGCCAAAATTATACAGAGAAATGTTCTGATCCTTCTTGATAATTTATGTAAAAAAAAAATCCAAACAATGTTCAGTCAGGAGTTTCTTAGAGAGGAGAAAAAACATTTAAACAAAGAGGAACCCGTTTAGATGACCTACTCAGTTTCTTTAGAATATACATACAAATACTCTTACCCCTTTTTATAATTAGCAATTCAGTAAGTTGAGCCAGTTCTTTTTTTGCTTAACAAGGTGATGGTATTTTTGGACAGATGCTGTAGCATACATCAAGTGTCAATGATGGTAGCATCATCATCATCATGCTATTGAGCTGTTTAGTTGTGAGTGGTATTTAACATTTCACATGTCACTGGAATAATAAACCTCAAACTCTATAATTCACCTGAAATCAACAGAGAGGCTGATATATTGAATTTTATTTTGTAAAAAAATTATCCCAAACACACCTTAAAAGTTCTTTAGAGCTAGAAGTTGGCTTATTTGAATTTTTAGAAAGAATTTATATCCTCAAAAATATTAAAGATTTATAGAAGTTATGACCTGAGGCCATTTTGGTTACATAATGCTTTGCACTTCCAGGTTGTTGATATGCTGGCCAAAGCTGATAGCCATTTCAGCTCCACCCCTTCATATGGCTATCCTTTCTTGTCTCCTCCCAGGGGACATTCCCTTGAGTAACAATAGCCAGGCTTTAACATCTAGTCCATCCCATAAAACCAACCAGTTTGAATTTAAATATATAAGAAGAGATTTTATGCCAAAAGGATTTTGGGGACATAAAATGAAAAAAAAAATGCAACTGGTACTGTAAATTGCTAAAGGACATGATGATAAAAATATTTATGATGTATGAACAAATTTTACCCTATATGTAAAATTTTGACCTCAACATCTAAACTTTTCCCTAATCTGTTGTTTTTTAACTATTACTAATGTACCTAGTATGCTTCAAAAATAATAAAAACTTAAAGATTGCTGTGACTTTAATCTGCACGATGAGCATTATTCCTGGTTAGGACCATATATAGAAGATCAGTTGAAGGTTGATGGATCTTTTGATCACCTTTGCAACAATATGGAAAATGGAGTCTTGGCCTGCAGAAAAAGTACAAAAAGTTATCAGCTGTTAAAACTTTTGCAAAGGACTATATAACATTAAAGAAAGTGAAAGACAGCATAATTACTAATTTAAACTTAAACCCTTTTGTCTTTTCACTTCAAAAACCACTTTACCCCCCTCCCCTTCAGATAAAGCAGCATTCCTTGATCTTAAATATACATCTTTGCAATTCAATGCTATTGAGACCTAACAAGCACACAGGACTTTGTGTTTAAGTGAACGTAAAAATGGCTCTGAATCAGCATTTTCTACTCATTAAAATATTCAGCAGTGGAAAACAATGTATTAATGAAGAAAAATGTTAACATGACAAAATTCATGTCTAAAAGTAAAGTAAATGTGTTTGCAAATGTGCAGTGCTGGATTTTTATTGACTTATGTAAAATGATTTCATCATTTGGGTGATGTTTTCTTTTCTGTCTTCGGTGCTCCAGGCAGATTAATTTCGTTCCAGGAATGTTGTGCTCAGCAGACGTGCGAAGGAAGAAAGAAGCAGAAGCTGTATTCATCACAACATCAGGTAACAGCCTCCACACACTGACACATCTGCACTAATTTGAAACCACGACTTAAAGATGCTGAAGAAGGTATTGTTTATTATAAAACAGGTGTTATTTTGTGGTTAAGCAACTTGGACTAGTTTTTTTTATGCTGGAATGGCAATTTAAATGTTTACAACTCTTTGAACTAAACTTTGGATTTATTTAATATATTTTCATTAAATAGCAGCTCAATGGGTTAATGATTTACTTTTGTAGAAGTTACAGGAGTTAAAGAAGCATGTTGTTCCTCTTTCCTTATAATGCCATTTCAGGAAGTAATTAAAGGAAAATTCCGGTTTTTAACACTTTTAGCCCATTTTCTGTAGTGTCCAGGATGAAATCGAATGATCGACACCAAAATTTTGACAATTGGTCCTGTCTCTGATATTTGGCTCATGCAGAATCCCCCCCTGGCTGCTTCAGAATGGCTTCCATAGTGCATGTCCGATAATGTCCTTAAAACAACCTTAAACGTTCTTTTTTAAAAATATGCTACTCACCGTGTCGTCAGCGCTGTTCAATGACGTTCCAAAAAAAGTTTCGTAAAGAAAAAACGTTCCTGTAGTGTTTTATTTAGCATTTTGTAAATCCCATTGAGTTCTGTTGGAATAGTCAATATCCCTCCGCCACCGGAAACAGAAATGGGGCCTGTTTACACTTAGTTGTAGTCTTTTCGCAAGGCCCAAGTGTTTCTGCTTCACTCTGTGTACTCCGACGTCGAGGTGCTAACGTCTCTGTTAAACACTTTAAAAAACTCTGAAAATGGAATACGAAAGGTGGATTCTTGAGGAGGACATATTGGCCTTTGAGTTTGACGGTAGAGGATACCGTCGCCAACTAGTGGTCTGGAGTGTGCAACGCTTCAGATTCGAACGGGAAGCGGAAGTTTATAAGCGGTTGTGATGTATCGGAAAAAATTAATCTGGGATTTACAAAATGCTAAATAAAACAAGACAGGAACGGTTTTTCTTCACGAAACTTTTTTTGGAACGTCATTGAACAGCGCTGACGACACGGTGAGTAGCATATTTAAAAAAAAGAACATTTAAGGTTGTTTTAAGGACATTATCGGACATGCACTATGGAAGCCATTCTGAAGCAGCCAGGGGGGGATTCTGCATGAGCCAAATAGCAGAGACAGGACCAATCGTCAAAATTTTGGTGTCGATGATTCGATTTCATCCTGGACACTACAGAAAATGGGCTAAAAGTGTTAAAAACCGGAATTTTCCTTTAAGAAATTCAGACTTGTGATAAATATGACAGCAGAAGTGTTTCTTTTTAAAAAAAAGCAGGATTATTATACATGGTTGTTGCACAGGGTATTTACATGGGTATTTATATAGATGGGTATTTATCTATACAACTATTGCACTGGGTGTCATATGTAAAGGAACAGGTTATTGCACAGGGTTAAACAGTAATTGCACATTACACAAGTAATCGCCCTTGTAGTGTCGCATTGTAGAGTCTGGTTACAGCAGAGATTTACAAACAGGTGAAATGGTTCCTCTGTTTCAAAAATGGTAATGTGTCGCATTGTTTATTTATCAATCTTAAACTATTTTTTGTGTGCATCCCAATCAAAAATGTTGATTTATTTATTTAAAATTATATTTAATAACCAATAGTTTTGTTGCTTATTTGCCTTCATTTCCAAGGTAGAAACATCGCATAAGCAGCTCTTTTCAGTGCACTGACTTCCAGAACAAGCTGAGCTGTAAAAACAATAATAGCAGAATATTCCACAAAGGTTTTTTAGATCAAGTTCTTATTGACAAATTACCCTACAGGAGATAAAATTTCAGCACAAAATTAAGCCTTCATGCTTCCAGGTTTAGACAATTCAATTGTTCACATAAGTGGAAGGTTAATTTATGTATAGATGGAAAAAATCTCTACTTTTATTTAGGAAAAACAACTATGCACCTCTTGAAACCCAAGAGAAATGTAACAATGAGCTAGAAAGGTAAAGAAAATGTATTTATAGATTTTAATAAATTTGTACACAATTATGAAAAAATGCGTCTATAAACCTATTACATTTTACAAGGTTGAATTTATTACATAATCCAAACGTATTACAAAATGCACGGTTACAAGGCATTAATAAATTTAAATATCCGTCCGTCCATCAGTCCGTCCATCCATCCATCCAAATCATTAACTTTAAGGAAGTTAGAAGTCTTTAAAAGTGTAGTGTATCTTCATGTAAAACAAGTACAAACTGTGTTTGAAAACAAAAACACACTATAATTCAGTTATACATGCAAAACTGAACTGTGTGAGCCAAAATCCCAGGCTATCAACAGCTTCACAACTCCACACTAGTCCCGTGTTTCATTGTCTGTTTTTTTTTTTTGCTTCACATTGTATTGTCATTGTTAGACGCACCCAGTCAAAGCATGGTCTTTTTGCAAGATAAAAGTCAGCATATTAACTACACAATCTACTTGAGTGGTATTATAGGCTCGTATCAATAAAACAGTGGTAGTGGGGGGAAATATGAAACTGACATTTGTGACAGCACAATGCCTTTTTACAAGCTACTGGAAAAAATTCCATTTTGGTTCCTTTTTATGCAGCAGAAACAAACCTTTACTGTCTGCATTTTGAATATATTCACAGTCTGAAGCAACTATATTCACAAAGCTTCCCAACCAAGACTTAAAAATATGACAAGGACACAGTTTAAAATAAACTTGTTTTTAAATAAATTCTTAATACAGTTTGTAATATATTTTTTTTTTATTATTTTTTTATCTCTAATGTATTTTAACTTTTAATTTTAAGGCATTAACAACTAGTTCTGTGAATTAGAATTACATAGGAAGAATTACGTAATAACAAAACTTCTTTATATACCATTATGTATTGCAAATTTATTATTTTTGTTTTGTTTCTTGTGCAAATTATTTTTACTATAAAAATTGCATGAACCCATCCGTGTAGCTCTGGCTATATGTTTAGGCTTTAGACCCTAGGGCAAAGGGAACCTTCTCTTCAGTCCCAAGTCTTCTGCGGCATGTAAGAGGTTTTCGTCTATCCATCCTCCCATGGACTTTGAGAAGCCTCCTCCTAAAGACAAAAAATCCCTCAGCAAGATACTGCCACCACCATAATTAACGATTAGGCTGCCGTGTCATGATAAATTCTGTCACAGATTGGATTTTCCTAAAATTGCAAGGGTTTGGTCCAATAAACTATTACAAATGTGTTGTTAGCATTCAATGCAAAACTAATAATCCTTCAGTCAAAGGGTTAGTAAACAAAAATCGAATCCAGAACTGATGCAAAAATCAGTTCAAACTACGGTACAAGCTGGTTAAAAATTACCTGAGGGCAAGGTTAGGCTAAACACTTGAACAGACTGAAAGATGAGCTTGCAGGGGTGAGTTATAAATATCAAAACACACAACAGAGACATTAAGATCTTAAGCCAGAAGTTGACAACAATAGGGTTTTTCAGAGGACAAATGCAGCTGGGAGTGTGGCAGGAAATAATTGCACAAAATAAAATAGGAGGTTCAAGAAAAAAGAAAGCAAAACAAGACAATTTTGAAAGGCTTAACCAGGTAACCTGGGCATGACTGTATATGGGTTTTCTTTTGTCCTCATTCTGCTGTTCTTCACTAATGTTCTTTAAAAAAAAATTAGATTAAATTGTCCACAGTTTGGTGTTATTCATTAATTACACATATTTTAAAGGCAATTTTTTATGTCCTGTTTAGCCAATATTTCTCTGGGAATCAATGTCCTAGAGCTAGATGACAATCCAACACATTTGCTTTCACAAGCAGACCATTATGGTTGTTGCCATGAGGTTCCGCTTTATTGAAAATTATTTAGGGAGAAAAATCTTTCACAACGGACACAGGGACGGAAATGGAGGTGAGAAAGAAATAGTGGATAAGAACTAAGGGAATTTCTGGCTGTGGACTTTATTTAGGGGTGAGCTGAAAACTAATACAGTTCACAAATTGTTAAGGAAACTATTTTTGAAACTCTATAGCATGCTCTTTTTCTTCTTTTCACAATTATGTGCTACTTTGTGATTAAATCTTTCTATTAAATCCCAGTATAATACACTGCACTTTATTATTTTTTTTTATTAAACCTTTATTTAACCAGGAAAAAAAATCACATTGAGATGAAACACCTCTTTTTCAAGGCAGTCCTTGCCAAGAGGCAGCAAAGTTACATAAGAAACATAAATACATTAAAAAAATAGCAGGTACATAAAAAAACAAAAAAGAACACATCAAGTAAAACAATTACAGATCATTGAGGCTGCTTGAAATTCTTCCACTTTCAACTTAGAAGCATTTAAAGATAGATGGTTTATGGTTCTATGGTTGAGATGTTGTGAATTAGCACTATGTAAATAAACTGAATTAAATTGAACTGATACCAAATAAGAGCAGATTAGCATAGAGAAGTGATAATTGGAGTTATACAGAGTTTAAGAAGACACCAAGCTGTCTGCGCTGGGTGTGTGTTACACCAGTCAAGCTGCCTTTTTTCATCAGCCTGATGCCTCTGAACCTTGTGTCTTCAGTGGATTGAAATCTGAATTGGTTTGTCCACCTTTTCTTCTCTGTTCACCACTCTTGCAGCTGCAGTTTGTCATTTAAATAACAAATGCTGGTGGTTCCCTGATTTACTGAGGGGTGCGGACCTGTGATGTATATTAATATTGCTGCACAGGGCTCTGTACTGGGGTCCATCATTCATGTGGATAAAAGAGGTGGAATTTAAAAACAGCCAATGCTTTACTTGGATACAGATTGGATCCATTTATTGCGCTGAGTGATGGAACAGCTGGCAATTCCGTCCTTCACCTTACCAGGGCTGAACCGCTTCCCATGATAGTGAAAAAAAGATTCACCCCTGGCCCCCAAAGACCTCTCATACTCACAGAAGCAGGAGAGAACTCAGCTTGTTTACATTTAACCTACAGTTTACTACAAACAGTAGA